TTGAATTCCAACTGTCAAGGGTTCCTTTATGTGCATGCCAATGTGTACATATGGCCTTAGTTTTTCAACCCATCCGAACGACTATATATTGTTCCTTGACATCCTGCACTATTGACAAGCGGGGGCCATGCCAGAAAATCTTTGTGAAGTTTCTCAGCCAACACCAGGAATGAATAAGGAACTTCCAGGTTAGCAAGCCAACATCTTACTCACTGAGTCACTGCTGCTCACAGTCTATGCCAGCCAAAATCATTCGATATAATTAATTAACCTTTTATTGTTGAATATATAAATTTAGAAATTCTAACAATTGAAACTCTGCAAATGTTCTTGAATAATGTTCATTGTTTGTCTTTACAAGGTGACTTTCTGTAAATAAAAACGTTATTTTGATAGCCTACCTATTTAAGAATTACAGATTTCAAGTTGCTGTTTTTGATAAATGTTTGTAAGATTCAATCAATGCAGGATTTAGATGAAGACCGGTTCTAGACTATTCTACTTGTGACTCCCCTCCTACAAGTAATTCCACCATCTTCACAACTAGAGGAAGATGAAAGTGTGTTTTAACAGCAATCGAGCCAAGTCAGTGATGATGACAGATGTTTAAAGGAGCTAAGTCGCTAATATTTGGGACCTAGAAATTAACACAAATGCCCGGGTCGCAACGCATACAATAATGTAATATGAATGTATATAAATTGATTTACATTCGATCGTTTCTGTTTTTACTGTAATTTCTAATCAGTTAAGTTTGGCAAAATACGCCAGTATTCTCAATCGAATTTCAATCTCTAGCGTCTGGTTATTCCAGTCTACGCCGTTAGTATTTGTTGGGCATGCTCTCCAGATAAGAATAAAGCGTCACTGTTTGACATGACTTGTGGAATATGCCTAGCCTCGTTTTTCGAGTCCCTTATTACAAATAGTGCTGAAACACATTATGGTACACGATTAGTGTACCAATTGTAAAATGTTTATTTTGTCTTAAATATTGGATATCAGAAGGCCATCTTTTCCCGGTAAAATCACAACATCAATGTTGATTTAAACCGACAAATAAATCGTGTTTTCAATGTCGAAGATTTTGGATGATATTGAGTTAGAGACTTAGCTACTTTAAGACTTAGTGTGTGTAAGAAAGACTTATGTCCCCTACATCTTGTGAACCTAGGTAAATATCCGACACTGGAATCAATACTGATATGACCTCTACAAGTACAGTTTGTCTTCAATTTAGGCTTCTAATGTGTTTTTATTAATACATGTCTGGCACTAAATTCAAAATGTCAGGTACTTTTTCTGAAGTGTCTGACATTTTTTTCAGTTTCAGCTAAATCTGTTATGCCTACATGTTCCTGAAGCAAAGACGGCAAGATTTACAACTCCTAGCTCTTAATTGCTACATTGACATTGACACTGAACGAATCTTGAACTTTGCAACTCGATTATCACACGTATACATTTGAGCTGGAAAGCCTGAGACTTGGTATTCACGATGAAGTTTTCTATCGAGGCATCTGAGAGACCCTAGCTGGAGTAGCCAATCGAAATTAGTGACGAAATACACAGGGTATTACATGAAGGGCTTGATAGAGTTAAAGCGAGATTAAGCCTTCTATTGAAGATGTTATATCAAGGCTTCTAATACTTACAGGGGGGCGTGGATAGCAGAATTTTTAGCACATGCACGCTGTATCATAAGGTCTGTCATTGAGTCAACTGGCATGGTTTTGATTCCCCGGTTTTACGTGACAAGTAGTAGGGTCGCCTGTCCAACCTTGTGGGTTTTCTCTGGGTCCTCCGGTTTCCTCCCACTGTTAAAGACCCCTACGCGCAAGCGAATTATTGAAATAAAATTGAACTATGTTAGTCTCTCGCTGTTTCTCTCTGTCTCTCTCTAATACTTACACTTTAGTATAACACATGCAGTCTCCACAAATAAGCAAGCCTGGACATAAGGCACCTGTCACAGACTTTGTCCAGTACAAATTATCACAGAACATATACATGTATTTTTAGCTACAATTTATACTTGACAAAGTCTATGAAACGCATGTGCCTTGCACTAAAGAGTCTATTTCTACCAATTTTAGAGAATAAAAGGTAGATATTGAGAGTAGATATATACATTACCTGAGTATATTATTTAAGTTGATCCTGAGAAAAATATATAACTTACCTGTGTGTAGTAATTATTGTGATAACTGTAAGGTCGATAATGTTGTATATAGTACATACTGTAAGATAAAATACATATCCATATCATATAACATACTTAAAACCATATTCACATAATGTGATCATAATAAAATGTTTCTCTGGGGTCCTCCGGTTTCCATCTATAGCTAAAAACCTCTGTGCGTAAGCCAATTATTAAAATAAAATTGAACCGTATGTAAGTTGGTGTTCTTTCAAGATAATTTCAGCATAACCTACATTGTACGTCGTGTATCTCTCAAAAATGTATCTAAAAATGCACAGATATTCCATATTAATATTAATATTAAATATCAATTCCATATTAATTTTCACAAAATTTTAAACTAAAATATTTGAAGATTACTGCCTTTTCATTGGCTATATAGATATAAAGCTAAAATTTGTACTAAAATTTTAATTCTCATTAAAATGAAATAGATGAAGTCTTAAAATATTTTATTTAATTTATGAATCAATAAGGCTCGAGTAATTGGGCTATCACAAAAACATACCAATAACAGAAAAACCATGGAATACTCAATATTTGATATAAAATGTTCATAACCATCAAACTAAATTATATATTGTATTTGGAACAATGCAATGTGAGCGAGTGAGGTGCAGACAGTTAAAGTACCGTATGTCTTTGCCGTTATAAATAATGACAGCAGAAAAGACTTCTTGTATCTGGATAGACAAAACAAAAGTTCTTTTGTTAAAATTATTTAGTGTATAAACTTTTTTATGGTTTCTAATGGTATTTAAACATTTATTTAGAAAATTGGAGTCAAATTAATGACTTTGAATTTATGACTTTTCCGTTATGTCTGTACTGTTAACATGATCTTTTACAAGTAACAGAAAAGACATTTCCTACAAATTTTGGTTTTGTTACATTTTTGTTCATTTTTAAGCGTCCACCTTGATTGCATATACCACCCTGAGTTATAAATCTATAGAATACAGTTGAAGTTTAATTAAAATCTCATAATTACTTTTTTCAAAGTTTTTGTTTGTTAATTTGTTAGCATATTTTTATGAAAATAGCCTATTTTAATATTATATTAGCACAAACCATTAAGCTGCACTACTTTGTTTCACAGTAAACAATGAAAAGACAAAAGGTATTCCAACACAAGCTCATTTCAACACTATTATAGTTTAATAACATTTTAACATATTATAGAACTTTTTCGCTCATCTAGGGAGTACATCAAAAATGTTATTCTATATATAATGAATGAATAAATACTTGATTTCCAAGACTTCAGTCTTTATTTATAGCCCTTCATCATGGAAATGAGTTCACAATATATATACACTGTATATTATATGGCGCTCGAATTAAAGGAGCTAAATCTCTATTCTACGGCACCTAGAAATTGACACATAACAATGGATATTATTGACATCAATTATTTCTGTTTTTCTAATCTGTTATGTTCGGCGAAATATGCGAAGAGTCCAAATTGAATATGTTCTTCCAGTCTACTAAGTATTCTCCCATGGGGTATGTTTAGCCTCTATCTTCGAGTCGTTTCGATCATTACAAATGGCGCTGATAAAAATACTGGCACGCAATTCATGTGCCAATTTTAAAACTTTCATTTTGTCTTAAATATATTGCGTGGATATCAGATAACATCAATGTTGATTTAAATTGACCAATAAGTTGTGTTTGCAATGTCAAAGACTGTGGATGATACTGAATTGGCCACTTGCCTCCTTTATACAATTAAAAATAACTTGAAATGATAAAAATTTAATTCATCATGTAGTATATGATGAGAAGTCGCTGAAGCATGGCAATAAATAAAATATAGTATATATCTTATTTAATAAGATAACGTCAGCTGATGAGGTCAGACCAATAAATATACTGTGGTAAAATCAATCAAGTGTAACAATTTATGAGGCACAAATGAATAATATGTACAACATTACTGTATAACACTGGAATACCTATCAGATGAATATTTTAATATTTATCTAATTATGACTTTACTTTCTCAAGATATGTGACATAAGATATTCTCAAGAATTGCTTTTCCTAATTTTTTAAAAACAATATAGTATAATATAGGTAACAGATTTTTCAGAAATTATAATATATGATCAATTCATTGATACTATCACAATTAAAAGTAATAAATTTCAAAACCAAATAAAAACTAATGTATAAAAAATATACATATTTTAGAAATCTGATCAATTGCTTAAGAATGTCAGTAGTATCACTATTTAAAGTAATCAATTTCAAAAACAAATAAATATTTCTGATATTAATAATTAAAATTAATTCTATTTCTAAAAATCATATAAACATGATAATTAATCACCAGAACAAAGACAGAAAAATATCTGATAACATTTGGAAAAGGAAAAAAAAAAAAAAAAAAAAATAATAATTGGCACTGTTTTTATTAATTCCATAATATAAATTAGCAGACAGCTTTTAAAAATTGTCCTTGCTCACTGATCTATGAGTTGATCTCACTGACCAAAAAATGGAAGTCACAGAAAATTTTGTTGCTCTAAGAAAAAATCAACCATTCTTCATCAACTTACATGATTCTTCTCCTCTCTCTGTCTTTGTACCATTGAAGCTGTATCACTTGCGATGATAAAGTCGCGAATCTTTTGTAATAATTTGCGCATTTTGGACTCTTTGTTAGATATTAGGGACCACATGACAGATTTTTAACACCATATGCCCTCTAGCCACGTGACTACTTTGTTTACATCTCGCAGAATAATGAGCACGAGATATAAACATGCTTCGGTTATCCAGTTGTCTTTTGTTCTTCGAAGTATACAGACTAAATAATCAAGACTCAAACAAAATGGCTGCGCCCATAAATTGCTAAAATTTGGAACTTTTTACACACGATATTGTTCATTTATCACATTGAAATCCAGCCTAAAATGGCTGATTCTTATGCTCTGGTGAAGGGCGGTAAATTAAAGATTAAAGGGCGCAAAAAAGAAAAGAAGTAAGGATTTTTACTAAAATATTCAGATCAGAATAACTGGGATGTAGTCATAACGCCTTAGCTACGAGAACGTAGCTAAAAACGTTGAGATATACTGATGTGTTTGTTTTTAGCTACGATTGGATGCCTTTAGTTCCAAGTGGCAAACTCAATTTCTTTATTAATGCATGTAACATCTTTAAAATAGATAAGTTTATGATATTATGATTAATTAAACTTACAGAGGCCAATGTAGTGGCACAACTGTCGCCTAACTCCAAATATTCGCGTTTAAATTAATGAAGCGTTGTTTTTGTCTGACATTTCACCGCCATCGAAATCCATTCATAGTTACTGTGCTTTCGATTGTCCTTTTGATTGGCTGTTATAAAAGCCTTATATTTAGCCCCGCCTTCATGATGACAGCGTATCGTTTAAAAAGATGGCGGTCTTAGTAACGGCTTAACGCCTCGATTTTAAAAACGACGATTTGTACCGGTTTCAGGTAGGATTAAATGCTTAATTGTAGTTGGGTGTTGTAGAAATATTATAAATAACAATAATCAATCGTTGTTTTGATTAAAACTATTGTCAATTTTGTTTAAAAATGCCGGGTGTGAATCGCTCCCGCAGCTGCAACGTTATAGGTAATGGGCTCATGTCTTATCTCGAAACACGGAGGGTTGAGAGATTAAGGTTAGTTATCTAAACGACCCTATGCCATAACGGCCAAAAACAGGTTTGGTCAAAACGGCCCTATTTTAGTCATAACGGCCAAACAGTTTGGTTATAACGGCCAAAAGATTTGGTCATAATGACCAAACATTTTAATTTAATGAAAAACAAGATATTGTTGTTGTTTATTAAAGATTTAACGTCCAATACGTTAGATATGATAATATTATGGATATACGTTAGATATGATAATATTATGGATAGGTTGATTTACAGAGTTTAAGGTCTTGAGATGAACAAGTATATTGATTTTCAATGAATTTTGATAACTAAACAGCTAAATCCATGATATTAAACGTTTTGTATACTAAATGTTAGCATGGGGCAGAACTTTATAAAAACCAAACAAATTCTAATGATTTTCTGATAATTACTTTATGAGTTGTTACTCTTAATCAGATTTTAGTGTATTATAAATGTTTCATTATCGAAAAAAGTAAAAATATGCGACAACTCTTGTAGACTGCCCGGACGATTTAGCTGCTGTGGGCGTATGTTTCATTGCCTGGCAACCTATCTTTTATATTGTATTAACATTAAATTCCGAAATAACTACAGTAGTGAACGCTAAAGTAGTGAACCCAGTCAGTTTTGGGTCCTGCTGGTTTGGATCTAATTTAATTAAACCAACCTGTAGGCTATTGGACGTTAAATCTTTAATAAACAACAACAAGCAATCCATTTTTTTTTATTTTTTTTTTTTTTTTCATGTATTAAATTAATGTTTAGCTAATGTATGTATTTATATTATCTGTTAGGCAATATCTTTGTGAATAAATATCATTTCCTGCAGTTCAAAAATGGTTTATATTTTCTTGGCCGTTTCGACTAAATATTTTGGCCGTTTCGACCAAATATTTTGGCCGTTATGACCAAAATTTTTTGGCCGTTATGGTTTAGGGCCGTTATGTCTATAACCCGAATAACTGACCATTCTAATGTAACAGGCATTGCCATTGCCTGAGTTATAGTGAGTAAAGCGAACCTGATTATTGTCAAATATAGAACCTTCATAATTAATTTTCTCAAGTGTTTAGTTTTTCCAAATTGATTTTTATTTAGATCTAAATTGTATACATTAATTTTGTTTTTAAAAAAAGAACAAAAAAGTGTGAGAATTATTTTCATTGACATCAAAAATATGTGACGTCATTGATTAGACGCGTCATAGAAATAGTTCTATGAGGCGCGTAATCTCGCCAATTATGTAAGTTGACATGCATTTTGCCAGTTTTGCCCAGTGTATCCGGTTCCTGTTTGAATTTATTTTAAGCCAACATTCTGTGAGTGACAGTTTCAGAGCATGAGGTACATGTATAATTAGGACTTAAAAATATCTTTAAAACAGAGATGGGGTGGAGCGGTATTTTCATATTGCAGCTTATTATGGACAGATAGGAAGGAAAAGAGGACTTCACTCCAGAGAGACCATTTTGAAAGTAGTAGCCCTTCTATAAACCTGACCTAAAACAAAACCTTATGAATAGGATTACAGACTTAAATTTATTTCTCTTAAAATCTCTTGGAAATACACAAATATTAACATATCATATACATGTAACTATCTTTGAAATGAAATGGGTTTAATATCCTACCTGTCTGTGGCCTACTCTTATTTTGAATTCCAACTGTCAAGGGTTCTTTTAAGTGCATGCCAGTGTGTACACAGGACCTTGGATTTTGCACCATCTGCATGACTACATATCGTCCCTGGCCCTAGGTCCTAAGTCCAACACCAGTCTAGCAGGAAATTGATGTTGTTATATAATTTTATTTGTAGACATAAAAAACATAAAAAAAGTAAACGAGATGAAGAAAAACCTGGAGGAAGTAACTCTGCTGATAATGAAGATACAGCAAAACATGGTAAGGAGTAAATCAGCTATGACATAATTTACAATATGATTTACAGATCTTTATTTCGTTTAATTATTTTTATACTTTCGATAGCCTCCACTACATGAAATCTGACCAGTTGTAGTGGGCCTTTGATCAGGGGTCATATGAGTGGCTTTTGACCCTATGAAATCAAACAGTTGATTAACCAATGAGCGTTAATGTTTCTAGTGGGTTACCCACAGTTCCGTGAGGGGGCGCTGAGAGGGGCTGGCGGTCGAATGATTTAACGCATGCTCTTTGGATCATAAGGTCTGTCGTTGAGTCAAGTGGCATGATTTCCACTCTAATTTGTCTCAAATTGACGATCGGTTGATGAAAATGAAATGTTTATTGGGTACTTGTATTTCAGGTGGCTGGTGGGAAGTAAAGGAATTTGATCAGCTTATTGGTAATGTTGCCATTGAGATGGGTGATATGACATATATTAGCGCCATGGATAACGGTTTATTTACACTGGGTGATCAGCGATCTGAAGGTAATTTATAAACACATCTTTGTATAAGATAAAAGGTTTGATTAAATAGATTCATTTATGGTTCTGGCCATTTATCATAAAATAAAGTGTCAAAAATTAAGAAAAGATGAGAACAAATCCATATTTCCCTTGGAGAGCTACCATGACTCAGTGAGTAAGATGCTATCTAACTAATCCGGAGGTCTCTGGTTTGGTCCTGATGTTGGCCGAGTAAGTTCCTCTGGATTTTCAAGTGTGGTTTCCCCTTGTCAGTGGTGCAGGATGGAGGGCCTGTCTAGTCATTTGGATTGGACGAATACCCTACATATTGGTGTGCACATAATTGAACTCTTGACAGTTGGGATTCAAAATAAGAGTAGGCTGTGATGCCGCTGCTCGGGCAAACTTTCCCTCATATAGATGTCACTATTAGTATTAAAGTGATTAAAATTCTAATATCCATCACTATTGAATACACAAACCCAGCCATTAGTGATGTTTATCATTAACACCTCAGTGATATAACAGCTACTTAATGGCTACTTCAGTGAAAGCGGACATTAAATAAAGCTATTTCACACATACCGTCTGATTACTAACCATTTTAACATGCATATGAAAAGTTGATTTTGATCTGTTTATTACTAAAAGTCATGTGTTCAGATGTTTGGAGAAACATAGGCTGAGGTGATGCCAACGAAAATTAAACTCCTTTTTTTTAGATATTTCTAATTAATACAAGTTTTTATGCTATTTTGTAGGTGAGGCTCCTGATCCAGTTGAAATTTTAACGGCTATAAAAATAAATGATACAAAGTTGGCTTTGAAATCAGGATATGGTAAATATCTGAGTGTTGATACAGATGGTAAATTAATTGGTAAATCAGAAGCAGTTGGCAGTAGAGAACAGTTTGAACCTGTCTTTCAAGATGTAAGTTACACAGTTAGTCTTGAGGTGTTACAATAGGGGCTAGAGCAGGGATGCCGAACCTCCACCTCCCGAAACGACTTAGTTTGTTCGAGTGGACGTTAAACCCCACCACTTGACTCAATGACAGATCTTATGATTTAAAGCAAGTGTATTAGACCACTTGACCACAGGAATGAACCAATACCCCCCTCCCGCCCCCCCCCCCCACCTGGATTGAAATAGAAGTTGTAATGTAGATATTTTACTATATATTACAGGGTAAACTGGCCATCAACGGTTGTAATGGAAGATTTATATCTGTAACAAAAGATGGTGATATAATGTGTAGTTCTAAAACAGCTGGCGAAAAAGAAATGATTAAGGTAAAAAAAACAAAAAACAAATGAAAATGTTGTAAATGCTCTGGTTCACAAGAAATTAATGTGCTGTAATGACAATATCTCTATTACGGAATTGAACATTTCAAATTACATTTACAGTCACATGTATAGTTATAATAATGAAAATTATAATTCCAAATACAATTACAGTTACAACTAGAACTGCAGTGATGATGGGTTTCACTGTTGCCACGTTACACTTGAACTGACATCAATTCCGTACGAATGAAAGCATAAACCAGATTTCCACATGAGTTCTTTAACAATAGCATCGTATTATTTTGTACTTTATAGTTTGCAGTTATCCCAATTTGTCTGTTTATAATAATATAGAGTTATTTTCATAATTACATATTTTATAGATAAGATCCAGCTTTATAGTTTGCAGTTATCCCAATTTGTCTGTTTATAATAATATAGAGTTATTTTCATAATTACATATTTTATAGATAAGATCCAGTGTTGATACAGATATTGATCCTCTAGCTGGTATACCCATGGAAGAAAGAGGAACTCTAAAAGAATCAGAAATAAAATATGTGTAAGTTCCAACACAACCTGGAAATTTATAAAATGGAAAACATATTTGATTATTTATAAAACTGAAAACGTATTTGAAAATTTATAAAACTGAAAACGTATTTGAAAATTTTTGAAATTGAAAATGTATTTCAAAATTTTTAAAATTGAAAATGTATTTCAAAATTTTTAAAATTGAAAATGTATTTCAAAATTTTTAAAATTGAAAATGTATTTCAAAATTTATAAAATTGAAAACGTACTTGAGAATTTATAAAATTGAAAATGTATAAAATTGAAAACGTATTTCAAAATGTATAAAATTGAAAACATATTTGAAAATTTATAAAATTGAAAACATATTTGAAAATTTATAAAATTAAAAATGTATTTGAAAATTTATAAAATAGAAAACGTATTTGAAAACGTATCTGAAAATTTATAAAATTGAAAACGTATTAGAAAGTTTATAAAATTGAAAATATACTTGAAAATTTAACATTGAGTTTTTAAAATTCACATTACCAGTATAACCGATATGTTAGTGTAAAGAAATACAATGTACACTTATTTTAATATTCAACAAGGGATTTTGTTGCTCCTGGTAGAAATCAGTTGAAGTCCTCTTTCTAAAGAAAAAGTTTCAAACCTATTAATGTTGATCAACTGATTAGCAGTTGAAATGAAATGAAATGGGGTATTAACATCCTACTGGGCTAATGAAGATAGACATACACAGTGTGCTATGAGGGAAATTATGCCAGAAAAGCAGCACTACGACCCACTCATATTTCGAATTCCTACTGTCAACCGTTCTTTTACGTGAATGTCAATGTGTACACAGGACATTAGTTTTTTGTCCCATCCAAGCAACAAGACACTGTTCAGTGTTAGGCTCTCCATCCTTCAACACTGAAAATGGAAACCACACCACACCAGGAGAGAACCTGACACCTCCTGGTTAGTGAGCCAGCATCTTACTCACAGAGCAACGACAACTCCCCTGAATATTTGGACTGGAAACCACACATGGAGAATGGATTGTAGTCATTTATTGTCAACAGTCATTTATCACAAACTTATGTTGAATTTGATTTTTGCAGGAAAAAATTCCAGAGTTACCGTAACAACAGATTAAAGATTAGTGAACAGGCAATTGGACAGTTGATGCAGGCGAGAAAAGAAGGAAAACTTCACGAATCTTTATTGGACAGGTTAGTTTTTAAACGCCCACATTTTTATATGGACATATTGTTGACGCCCCTGTGCGTCCCTTCACATTTTGTTTTTGGACACTCTACAGGTCACAATTTTTATCTGATTTTGACGATATTGAAATATTTGTTTTTTTTCCCCTAAGATTTCGGTTCCTTTCGATATTGACACATGTGGGACTGTAACATTCTGGATTATGGCCCCAGATTGTACGAAAAGTCGCATTTTTAGCTTGTTCTCTGTCCATCTCTTGCAAAATGTGGGTGCATCTTGCATGGCAACTGCTTGTTCAATTTTGTTTAAATTTCACATTATCTAACTTTAAAATGTATAGGGTATGACACAAAATCCTTTTCAAGCAGGAGGGGTTAGGTGGCTGAATGGTCTAACATGTGCGCTTTAGATCATAAGGTCTGTCATTGACTCAAGTGGTTTTGATTCCCAGCTTGTATGTGACAAGGAGTAGGGTCGCTTTCTAACCTCATGGGTTTTCTCCAGGTCCTCTGATTTCCTCCGATTTTCTCCTACGAGCAAGCAAATTTTTGAACTAAAATTGAACCATATGTTAGTCCCGAAATGACCTAGTTTGTGTCCAGTGGATGTTAAAACCATTTGTCTCTCTCTTTTTTCAAGAAGAAATAAGGAAGGAAGCTTTGCCCTTACACATGAGCTTCATGGTAAAATATACCAGTTCCTGCTCCCAGTTTAGTTCGAGAAAGTTCCACAGGATTCTCAAGCCTGGTTTTGCCTTTTCATTCGTACAGATGAGACGAGACAAAAAACAAATTTGTTGTCTTGTCAGAATGCCTGTTTTCCTTATTTATGAATCATAATTTGATTTTTTGTTCTATTTCAGACGAGAGAAAATGAAAGCCGACAGATATTGTAAATAGTACACAGTTCCTCATCTCTAATTTTATCATGTACATAAGTTTATCAAATAAATAAAAACATCTTTAATATAAAAAAAACTATGTAGTTCGTTTTCATTATTAAAGCTGCATTAAGTAAAAGCTAAATTACTGATCTTTCTTTTGGCCACAAATCTTGCATTAATTACTAATTAGTCGGATGGTTGGGATTTTTAGTGGGTTGAAACACAATCACCATCTAACATTTTTATTTAAAAATAGATAATCCAGACTTTGTTGACGTGGACGTATATTGTCGTCGCCTCTGTCCATCCAACCACAATTTGTTTGTGGACACTCTAAATGTCACAATTTTTATCCGATTTTGACGACACTTGAAATAATATAGGTCTAACTCCCAAAGATCTTGGTTCCTTTCGATATTCCTGTCTTCATTGCCCAGTTCGGAGCAAATCAGTAGGATGTTAAACCCCATTTCATTTCATTTCAATATTGGCATATATCGGACCATAACTTCATGGATAATGGCCCCTGATTGTACAAGAAATTGTTCTTGTTTTTAGCTTATCCTCTATCCATCTCTTGCAACAAGTAGGCTTATCTTGCCTGGCAACCATTGTTTTTTTTTGTTGTTATTTTTTTAGCTTGTTCTCTATCCATCTCTTGCAAAATGTGGGTGTATCCTGTCTGGCAGCTGCTGGTTAAATCATGGACCTTATATGTTTTTTTATTCCTTGGTCATTCATTTTCATTGCACAGAAAAAGATTTATTGAATATATTTTAATTATAATTCATAAAAAATTAATGTGACCTGCTTTAGTCCCCACTTTTCTGAATTGTTGGACTTCTGTAACCTCAGTGGTCTCATTCCGTTCCACCCCACTAAACCCTGGGTTTATCCATGTAGGAGGTACATATTCAAATTATCGGTAACCCCAGTCGTCTCATTTCGTCTACCACACTAAACCCTGGGTTTATTCAAATTGTCTGCTCTTGATGACTGTGCTACTTTTATCAACCAATAAAAAAATCGTCAAATTCAAAGGAAATTGGTGATGGGAAGTAACTCTCATCTGGCTACAGATCACCAAAGATTTCCCCATTGACTTTAATGTTAATTCTCGTCTCTTAGACCGGCTCTAACTTTTCCCAAATTTTCGTTGGAGCAACATGTGGCAACCTCTTGTCCAAAAGCACGTATGAGGTTCAATATGAAAAACTCGAGATACGCAAATAGGAAATAGAGACAAGTAAACATGCAATTCTCCGCCCTGCATTTCAACCCAACCAACCTTTTAACTTATGTATCCTTCCGCCTCAAAATCATGAATATTTACCAAAACCTTGCAGAAAATGTATACGATGTTCTACACCAAAAAGTCAACAAAGATCGCCATGCAAAAGTTGGAAAAGAGATAGGGGGAGAAAGACTAAAAACAGTTTTGGCCCTTGGGTGAAGGCGTAGGAATAATTGGCCAGCTGTGTCCATATTGTTGTGAAAGAAAGCAATGGGACTATGTCTGGTTTGTGAACTGTTTTTTGATTGTTTCGTAGATTCAAGTTACGATCAAAGGCAGATACCGAGCATGGGTCCTTGGATGAAAATATCACCGAGGCATTGCATCAACAGTGAAAAGAGGGCATATTCTGGTCATTGTCTGCCACACTAACACATAAATGTAATTGGTAGTCAGGTAGATAGATTTATTTGGCATAAACATATATACAATATTAATAAATAGAATTATAACTTTATAAATTACATGCAGTATATAAAAGATAACACAAAAGATTAAGTTTCCACCGAGGTCCTTGTAATCTCAACCAAGATTTGTTTTCTTTATTGAATCAATCTGAGTACATATTAACGTGGTTTAAGCCGTGCGAAATGTGATATTTTAGCGACAATTAAATGATGGCGCATCATGTTACAGAACAAAAAAGGATATTGTATTTGACCATTTCCCTTTAATGTGCTCTCTCAACCTATGTAACACAGCCAGGTGTTAATTGTCTGCAAAGCATCACCAACAAGAATAAGTAGCAATGTCCTCCGTCACATCAACCTATGAAATGAAATGAAATGGGGTTTAACGTCCTACTGTTCTGCTCCTATACTGGGCTAATGAAGATGGGCATACGCCATACAATGTGCTATGAGGGAAATTTTGCCCGGGCAGCGGCACTATCGCCTACTCTTATATCGAATTCCAACCGCCAAGGGATCTTTTACGTGCATTCCAATGTTTACACGGGACCTCGGTTTTTCGTCTCATCCGAAGGACTAGACAGCTGTCCTTGTCAGGCCCTCCGTCCTGCATCACTGACAAGGGGAAACCACGTCGGAAAATCGGGATGTAACTTTCTCAGCCAATGCAGGGATCGAACACCCGACCTCCAGGCTAGCGAGCCAGCGCCTTACTCTCAACCTATGTAACACAGCCAGGTGTTAATTGTCTGCAAAGCATCACCAACAAGAATAAGTAGCAATGTCCTCCGTCACATCAGCCAATTCTTTGCTTAGGTATTCCCGGCAAAGAGCTAGTATAAGAAAAGACAGAGCGTACTCCGGTAGTATTTTAAGAGCACAATATGCATGTTTAGCCTATGCACCCTCATTTTCATATGCACGTATATTGTCGAAACCCCTGTCCTTGCGGACGTCTGTCTACAGTCCACAGTGGCCACCCTACAGGTCACAATTTTTGAAATATAGGTTATCACCGGTAGTATTCTAAAAGCACAATTAAACTTCTTTGGGGCCTGACATGTGCATTTTTATACGCCCTCATTTTCATGTAGACGTATATTGTCATTGCTTCTGTTCATCCACAGACTACAGTTTGTTTGTGGACACTATACAGGTCACACGATTTGTATACCATTTTAAACGAATCTTGAAATATAGATTTATCTCCAAAAGATCTCAGTTTCTTTCGATATTGAAATGCATGGTACCGTAAACGCAATACGAAGCCATCGACCAATGTGCCCATATCAGTATGGGCGCACATAAAGACGAGTGACATTGGGTGGGCGGCCATAACAAGATTGGCGGGCGTCCAACCAATGTCACTCCGTTTTATGGGCGCCTTGCCAATCATGTCGTTATATATTTGAGGGGCGCCTCATAATGACTCACACGATTAACACCACAACTTGATTGAAGGGGCGTCCATAATGACATGATTGGTGGGGCGCCTTATAATAACAATATATAATTGTCCGGCCGCACATAATGCATAATGTACCACCAACCATGTCCTGGTAGACTGCGAGGTATACAAGGAGGAGAGAAGGGAACTAGTGAGAATGATGGAGACTAACAACATACCATTCAACACTAAGAACTTACTCTTCCCGAGACCAGATCTGAAACTGCAAATCTTCGAACAAATCCACGCCCTAATGGACACAGTTGGACTAATTAGAATAGTGAAGTAAGAGGGGGGCACGGTTAGACGGGTTCGGCATCTAAACACTAAACTACATAGGGGATTTATACCAAACTGGCAGGATAGTGGATTAAGAGAGGGTCACGATCAGACGGACTCGGCATCTAAACACTATTCCGGCAAAAAATAGACATTAAACCTACAGAGTGGGATAGGGGAGTAAGGGGAGATCACGATAAGACGGGCCTGGCACCTTAACACAAATCCCACAACGAAGACAGATCTACCAATCCAGAAGCAGAAGAAAACATCTACCAAACTAGCATGATAGTGGAGTAAGGGGAGTTACGGTTAGACGGACTCGGGACCTAAACACTATTTCGCAAAAGAAACATATACCAAACCCATAGAGTGGGATTGTGGAGTAAGGGGAGGTCACGATAAGACGGGCCTGGCACCTAAACACTAATCCCACAACGAAGACAGATCTACCAATCCAGAAGCAGAAGAAAACATCTACCAAACGATATGTTTTTTACTAAATAAAGGGAAGAACTTCCCACAAAACCCAATCTATGGCCTAAGGCCGAAAATGGAAAGATTGCAAAATCATATTCTAAAAACAGGAAGCAGCTTCGGCTCTCCTATTTCTTGTCTGCGATATCACTTATGTGGAAGCAGACGTTAAACACCAGGATACACTACTACATAATGCATAATGCCGAGTAAGATTGGTTGGGCGCCCATGACTTGACCAATGGGGCGCCCAAAACGGCATGATTGGTGGGGTGCCTCATCCCGGAGGGGCGCCCATAATGCCGAGATTGGTGAGCCGCCAACGACGAGATCATGGGAGCCCATAATATAACTGGCGGGGCACCCATAATGCCGAGTAAGGCGCCCAAAACGGCGTGATAATCTTCAAAATTCAAACAAGTCGCACTCTAATCCGATTCCGAACTTTCAGTTTTCTCATAATTATTACAGGTACGTTAAAGTCGTATTCCTTCCTTTAATTTTTTATGTTCATATCAAAATATCATAATATGGCAATATCGCAAATTCAATCTGAAAATTGAAATTTTCCAAAATTTTCTGGGGGGACACTTCTCCGGGTCCGTCAAGTGTAGGTACATCGGCGCCTGAGAAGCCTTTGCCCCCCCCCCCCCCAACAATTTTGGGCTATAGCTACAAGCCTGATTTTATCCGATTTCAAACTTCTTTAAAACATATTACCAATACACTCTAAAGACGGCTGAGTTCGAATTTCGCACCAAATGGCCGCTCCTCGTACGCCATAGCGTAAAAGTACGTAATACAAGGTTATGGACCCTCTGAAGGTCACAGTGTTTATCCGATTTTGGTGAAATTTAAATATATTATGTTTATATCCACAGGATCCCGATCCCTTTCTATACTTGATTGTATAAAGAAAATTCTTTTTTAGCCTGTGGACCATATAGAGGTCACAATTTTTATGTCATTTTCAAAACCAATCAAATATAATATTACCGTTGCACCCTAATAACGATTAAGTTTGAATTTCGTAAAAATCTAACCGGGACTGTCCGACAAAATGGACGCGCCCGTGTTACAAATTTTGATATTTACAGCTCCCAAAAACCTGAAGACAGAAAAAACAAAAAAAAAACTGTTCCGACTGTTCAGAATATTTGGGCAAGTATAGTATTACAAGAACCGTA